GGCTGAGAGCAACTGACTGAAATCTGAAAACCTGAGCACAACCAGGGATGCATGAGGGCGCCGTTCAACACCACACGTGTGGAAAAACCTTCATGTGCTCCGTTTACTCTATCCAAGGCAAAACACTAACAGGGCTCAGTGAGATCACCAGGAATCGCAGAATATATGCCGGTTTTGGCAATTCATATCAATTGTGCTAATTAATGACACAAACAAGATAAAGCATGCTTAATTTTAGTGACTGCAAATCGCAAGACTTAGATCCCCTTATCTTTGATGTGACACCTCTGCAGAACTCTGGAATGTAAAGGAGACTGGAAGACAATCACTATCTCCAGAACAGATATCTCCCAAAACAGGGTGAATCCGATATTGAACTATTCCAAACAGACCATTTGCCCCTTCCCTATCACTCCAATCACCCACTGCAGCACACCTTCTAGGAGAAAAGTGCTGCAACATGTCAGGACTGCCAGGACAGAGGAGAAGCAGAGCTGTTCAGCCTGCTACTACCTAATACATCAGACCTTTCTGGGTGCAGACTATTGACATTTTACTGCAACCAGGAGCACTTAAAACCAACTTCTTTACAGGTCCAACCTAATCAGTTATATCCACAGAATATGAACATCATTTTATTTACATACTTCAGGGAGATGCATAACAGAAGAGGTTATGCTCCCCCTTAGGGCCATAGTAGACTTTCATCCCATAGCAGTTCCAACTTGCAAAGACATTACTCGTCTCAAATGTAAAGCACGAAATTCTCAGTAGAATGTATTACAGAAGTCTAAACGTTATGATCATATCTCAAATTCTCTCTATTTTAAGTATCTCTATTTAGTATGTCAGCTTAAACACTATTCATAGGATATGTCACTGGCATTGCTAATTTCGAGTCTCTCTCTTCCATGTAATGAATGCTTTCAATTATTTTTCCACTTGCTTGCATTTTTCCAGTTGGCATCACATCTCGTTTCACACCCTTACTTCTAACTTCTTTTTTGCGATGATACCATGATAATTCTAAGATTAAAAACAAAGATAGATGATGCTCATTCTCTCTCTCCCCCTCATATCTGAAGCACTTTGCACTTTGGCATACATATGCATTTAGTGAAATATTGTATTGCTTTTCATTTTTCTGTACAACCAATAAAGTTGCAATTAAGTAAGACATGACCTAATGGTTCTATAATACACTGACCACTTTCTCAGAATTCACTGCTTTGGATAGTTTTAATTCTATGTAATTGGATTTTTACAATATGATGCCTAATCTCTAATTCTGACATGGAACTAAATAATGATATTATGAATTCTTATCATAAGCACAAAAATTATTGTGTATTTAAATACTTGATTACTTTTCCATAGAAAATGGGCATACCAAGATAAAAAGGAGTTAGTTTGGGAACCCATTACCCACTTTAGCACAGAGTCAACCCTATGTAATTCCAAAAACTTTATATAATACACTTATTCAGCAAATTATTTGACCATAGATTTAAAGTGCTTTTCTGACTCTCATTGGTTCTGTGTTTCAGCATATTAACTTACATATCACATCCTCCTACAACCAGTGCCTTAGAGTGGAGAATGATGGTACAGCTTAAGAAATTATTTAAAATTTTCAGGTGTTACTGGTGTGATTTTGGATCATGTTTCGCTGTCCTTGGAATATTACAGTGTAAAACATATGCCATACATAGATGTAGGTTGTAGAAAAGTCAAAAGCACCAGAGATTGCAAAGCACTTCACCCTCCAAACAATGCTACAAACACTGCGCTATGGAGGAAGCACACTCAATAGATTTGGAATGTAATACCTACAATTTGGAAAGCATTTTTCCTGAATTTTGTCTGTAGACACAGGAATATTTAAGGACCTCCTATAAAAGTCGTCAAAAATTATCAGAAAATTAAATGGAAAACATAACAGAATATATAGAAGATAAAGAGGGCTATTACTTGGCTTAGAGAGAGGGTAACACTAATGGCAGTTTTTAGTTTCGCATGTGCTTATAAAAGCTGAATGAAAATTTTTACTTCCCTACAAAAAAAAAAATCTCTCCCTTCATTGACATGGCTCTTCTCTGTCCCTGAGATGTAGTTGTTATACTCACGCATTTTTGGCTCAATTGCTGTTTATGATCACTCTTCATTGTAGCTGGTTCTTTTAAAGAATAAGCCAGAGTCTTGCATAAAATGGGAGTTTTAAACTAATCTCTAATATGGCTAGAATGGATAATCAAAATCACGCGTTTCCAGGGAAATGGATGATCAAGAGTGATTTGTACTGGCCTGATCCTACAAGAACCAGTGTCTGTAAGTAGTCGTTATGAAACCACTAAGCATATTGCACATATGGAAATATGGATGTCCATAACATGGCACCAAATGTACATGCTGTACCCAGCTCTCAGTGGATGTTTTGGGGAGAAAGGAGGAGAGACTGAACAGAAAAGTGGGTTTGTCTCCCATATTTACGAATTCCCCAGCACTAATTAAGAGTTTTCTAGATATAAGGACAGTGCATTGCCACAGTCAATGGTGGCCATGTAAAGATGATTTCTAAGAGAGGCACGAGCTATCCCATTGAAAAAAATTATAATTGGAGGAGGAAATTTTATAAGAATTGTTTTAATGAACAGCAGGTTAGAAAAAAATTTCCGATAGGTTGCTTCTGAAGGGTTTCTTGCATCCACGAGTCTAATACTAGTTGCTGACAGAGCTGGGATTCATAAGACAAATCAGTAGCCATGCACAGGAAAGCACAATCAGAAATGCTTCTGTATTGGACTGCAAACATGGAGAGCCAAGACTGGGGAGAAATCTCACAGACTGCTCTGTTGATATAACATTTAACTATTAACAATAAAAAAAATTGAATCTCTGTTTAAGGCATGTGGTGATACTTCATCAAAGTTTGGCTTTAAGAAAACATTATTCTCCCCCACCCCTTTCTTTCATTTGTCAGTTGGTTACAGCAGTTGTCTTGCTCAAGTGCCTATCCAGATCTTTCCCTCTATGACAAACAGACAAACAGACTTAATGTAATGTGACAGATATATATTAAAAAAAAAAAAGACATATGTAAGATAAGAAGAGATATGTAAGATAAGAAGTGGCCCCCACTTAAATTTTGTTGCATTTGGAATATGAGAGCAGTGGTTACATTTTGAGAAGCAAATTAGCGAAAAATCAAATAGCCCAAATGTTCTAGCTCAGAGGCACAGGATTTTGGATGTTCGTTCATTTTTCAGAGTTAAGACTGAGCTGTTTCACATTTAAAGGAGGACTTAAATTTAGTTTTATATAGCTAAATCTGGATGGAAACCTGTTCCCTAGAACAGCTCCGTGCTGGTAAGTACCTCTCTGGTTCCCACTTCCTTTCCTTCTGTTCAGCAGTGCTTGGCTGCTTCAAGAGGAGGGTTGTAGCCTAGTCATACAATGGCCTACAGCCTGGCAATGAAGTCAGGAGCTCTGAACACATGCTTCTCAAGGCTGAGCAGACATCAGGACTGAAAATTTACACCTCCTGCCACTAGAATCTTCTGCAATGGGAGGGTGAAAAAAGAATGGCGATTGACATAAACAACTGGCTTCCTGATGACACTTCTGCTGCATTAGAAGCTGTTTCACCAAAAAAAGGGTATAATTGCTGAATAAAAAATGGATGCTGGCAGCTTCCACTTCTTATTGGCCCCTATGTATTCAGAGAGTTATATACTAGTCTGGGAGAGATGAACAGGATCATCCTTTTGAAGTCTTTGAGGCACCTCTTTCTACTAGCTGTACACAGAATTTGCACTCTAGCTGTAGGAAGCCTGGATATTCTCTCCTTCTCCATTCTTTTCCTGCTAACATTTAGGTGTCTCAAATACAGCTGTGTCCAGGCCTAACTAAGGAAACTAAGACTTTGCACAGAAAATCCTCTATGTTCACTTGTACTATATCTTCTCGTGCATCTTGGCATGTACTAAAGAGGTCTCTAGTGCCTTGAAGTGGTATAACTGAACAAGTCACATGATATTTCACTTCTATAATGGTTCTAGTCAGTACGGAGGATTTCAGTTGAAATATTTGGATGTCTCTGCATCAACTAGCTTTAGGCATCCAACTTCCATGCTTTGAATTATTCTCTGGAAGTAAAGGTTCCGTCTTTCCAATGATGACATCAGAAATTCAGACTCCTAGAAAAGGTGCTGTGAACTGCATCTTTCTATAGACCTGAAGAAGGTTCAAAACCATAGTGAGGATAACTCCTGAGTAAGTCTGATATTCTTAGGCAATAGGCCAAGCCTAGTCTTAGGATTTTTTTGAGGAGAAAATGACGGATAAATCTAAATGTTGCTTGTATTTTTTTGGGAAGGAATATTCTTGCAGTGAAGTTCTTTCCCTTTGAAATGATGTCTGTAAGTCAGGCTGCGTATTACAGTGAGCAATTAAGACACTACAGGCTTCTAGGTGGACATATTTAATTTGGTTTCAGAGTCACTTGTTTTGATTTAACTAGAATATATTCTACATAGATCTAGGCTTGTTTGAGTTTATAGTGTAGCCTGGAAATAGCAGTAGAACTCTTTGGAGATTCAGCCAAAAAAGATTGAGTAAAAAGAGTCAGACAAGCAGCAGTCATGAAATCTAAAATAATATGGAATCTATAAAGAAAACATAGTAGCTTCACAGATATTACTAGTTGTCATGCTACGAATACAACCTTTAATAAATCATCTTCATACATATAATTTCAAAACAAGAAAGTATATCCAGTCTTGTAGTCTGAGGCCAAATCCCAATGCACCTGAAGCTTTCACTAATAATAATACAGCTCTGTGCGTGTTTCAGAATTTGGTCCCACAAAATATCCCAGGAAAGAACTAAGAGAATCAGTGATTAAATGGAATGAGACATCCAACTACTGAACTTTTCTGTTCGCATTTCTTGCAGAGCTTCCTGCAAGACTATCTTCAACTAGAATATATGGAATTACTTACTGTGCAAAGTGTCTCAAATGTCTTTTCGGAGACAAAGGATCCATCAAGACCAAAAAGAAAAATAGATGCATAAGAAAGCATCCCTCCAAGGATAATAAGGTTGTTCATGTAGGGACTGGACATCTTTATTAGTCTAAGGACAAAAGGTGATAGTGCATTAAAGAGGAAAAGATTACTGCTAGGCTATTAGAGCAATAAAGAGCTTTTTTTAACCAGGCAAACAGATAACCCTTCTTGTAGAACTTCATGAAATCTATAGGCATGCACACTATTTGCTGTTTTATAAAGTCTAGCACTGTTTGAGGTTTTTGAATGTTTAGTAAAAAGACTTCCTATTTTACTGATGGATTAATTAGCTAGGGTTAATGTTAATAGCAGACAGTCAAACATAAATAAAAAAATTACACTTTCCAAACAGTATAAAAGAACTTGTCTTAACAGATAGAAAACCTGTTTCAATGTGAATATATCACATACTTATTTCAATTAAATAGTCCTAAAATATCATCTTTCCACAATTTTAACATGGTCCTTATATAGAGAGATAGATAGATGGCAGACTCTACAAACATGGCATTCAAATACAAAAGAAGTAGTGATAGAAGTAACATGAGTGTCTTACTTCTGATTTCTGTTTTTGATGTTAAAGAACAAGAAAGCACTGGCCATTATCATTCCTAGGATAGTGAGGGCAGAGAGGATGCTGTAGAGAGGCAGGGAGATCTTGCGTAGCTCCTCTTGTATAATTGTTTTGTCCTTTGGAGGCTCAAGTCCTAGAATTACAAGAAGAAAAAAAAAGGCTAAAGCTCAGCCAGATGTAGAATTTATGCAAGAAAATTTGCCTTTCCTAAGTACTATATCTCGATTTAGCAACTGTGAACCACATCAGTAGCTGATGAAATCAATGTCTTTGACAGACATCTGTTAGCCTCATTGATTGACAAGAAGGTTTGTATTTCCGGAGCAGGTAAACATCCTCTTTGGAAGAAAAAACACACCAAAACCCTAACGCAGAACCCCATAAAATACATGCTAACTATCTTCATTTTATAGTGTAAATAAACACTACGATGCATACTATGACTGTAAATTTTACCAGGAGGTTATGCTTTCGCGAAAGAAGTGACAGAGCAATGAGTAGAAAACAGAGAGCATCATTTCTCTGCATACTGTCATTATTACCAGGGCAAATTCAAACATCCTCTCTAGATACCTACCACAGCTGGAGACCAGCCTTGGTGTGACATCATTGGGGCAGGGACTGGTGGCCCTGGGGGGGTGTGAAATGGGAACCTGGATTGTGGGCAGGGCAGGGGAAGTCCTGGGAGAGGGGTAGGCAGGGCTGTTGGTGTCCTCAGGACTCTACAGAACGGAACAATACGGAAAAATGGATGGCAAAGGTTTTATAAGGACAGACCCACTTTGCAAATCCCTGCAGATGTGGACTGGAATGTCTGAACTTACTTAAAAACTATGTTTAAAGCCATGTGCTTGATTGACAGTCAGCTCCCACTAATTAAAGGCTTCTCAGTTTAATGAGAAAAGTTACTTTCTGACAACTGCAATAAAGCTCTGCATCCCCGACTTCCCACACTCCATTTTACCTGATTACTAAATTTTTCCATGGAGCAGAGGATTGGCAAAAGGCCTTTTGCATCACTGTCTTCCTTCAGAAAGGGATTCGTGTGCCCTACAGTGCCTGAGCCTGCCCTTTCACATCAGCCCTCCGAGGGGCCACAAGGACGACCACCCAGGGCCGAGCAGCTTTGTTTCACAAAACGGCTGAGCTCTGTGGACCCCCTGATCACGGAGCTGTAAGAAACTGACTGTCAGCCGCCATAGCTAAATTTCACCCTTCTGCTTCACACCTAGAAGAATATTCAATTCAAGGATTTACTAGAAGAACATTCAATGATCTATACAGTAAAATATCTTTATCCATACCAGTTAAGCTGAAACAATTCAGACAATGGAAACTTGCTATCCTTTGGTCTTTATGCCCAACATTTCTGCAAAAAAATTTCCTTTCAGGTGATCACAATAAAGTGGCAGTCAAGGGACCATTTGGTGATTTGATATGGGAGAAAAGTACCTGAGATTTTCCCCTTTTCCCTTTCCCGCCTCAGAGCATGCGTTTACAGTGCATGACACCTGACAAAATTAGGCAACAAGTAACAAGCCAAAAATACAATAAACCACGTCTGAATTAAAAGAACTAATATTAAAGAAAAAAAACATCACCCTGGTGTATCTAAAATATACAGAGTACATTGATGATTTGTATTTATTAAATATAAGTAACCAATGATTCGATAAAATTTACTTTCTTATTTCTGCAATGGTCATTCAGTTCTGTTGCTTCTAACATGAATTATTGTTCTCTTCTGTGCAATTTTATGCAATGGTTTAAAGAGGGCTATATTTACTACTCTTCATTTCAAATACTTCAATTTAAATACTTCAAATACCCAAGTTACTAAGTTTTTCACACTGCCTGTAAGATAGAACAACAGCTTCCTTCACATCGAATACATGACTGCCTCCATGAAAAGTTAAGGTGTATAAATGAAGAAGGTTCACTGTAAGTCACATAACGCATCTTAAGACAAACATAAGGCAGGCTATGGATGAAAGGAACACCAGATGTGGTCAGAAAAGGAACTAGGAGCCTGCTTCTGAAAAAAAGCCTGAACAGAGAACTTTTCCCATCCTCTACTGTCCATAAAGGCATGGAGTCAGGAGCAAAACTTGTCTCCTGTTACTTGGTACATCCTGCATATATTCTGTGGAAATCAATAGAACTGAATCAGTATTCAACTACATCTTCTTTGGAGCAAAAATAATCTGCTGGGTACCAGACTTTGGCAACTGGGACAGATTCTGCACTTTTCATTTCCAAAGCCTCATTCTCTAGACAGATGTGAGAAGTGCATGTAGCTGTGCTCTTTTAAGTCCATCAAAGGACACTAAAAGGAAAGGTGGAGGGCTCCAGCAGACAGACAAGTAGTCATGGATTAGATCACTGCAGTGAAACTCCAGTGATGCTCATGCAAACCTTGGGTGTTGGGGCATGAAGGCAGATGTAGTAGAGTACAGGATACAGCAGCCTGATACTCATCCACCACTCCCAGGGAAACCACATGGATCTCATAAACTGACTCTACTTTCCATTACTGAATTGCATCATAGCAGAGCTTAAGATTAAATCCTAATTATTAGCTTTAATGTATATGCCTGTATTCAACAGGAGAGACCCTTAAAACTCATTTCAGCTGACATCTGGCTGCCAAGATCATATGGTCAGAAAGTCATAGGTGTGCCTGCACTCCAACTGCTGTGAGGGCAGAGGAAGTCCCCATGTTAACTTTGGAGCAGTATGGGATAAAAAATGGCAAGAAGATACAGCAATACAGGCTATATGCCTGCTGTGGACCTTGGGAACGCTGGCTGGGCTGAACACCCTCTCTGGCCCTATTTCACGTAGTCCATCTTAAAGCTAGCCTTGGTATTTTGAAATCCTGTTTTCTAACTGCCTAACAGACATCTCCCAGATTAAAACCACCACCTCCTTCTTGTGTGTGCAAACACAGCACACGAGAGCATCCCTCAGCGGAGATGAACCGGGGGGAGTGGGAAATGAAGGTGAAATAGAAGACATATCTGCAGCTTGTTGAAATATCAAAGAACATTTGGCACACATATAGATTTGAATTTGTCCTAGTCATTGGAATAATAAAAAAAAAGTATACAGTATCGAAACATCATGATCGTCTGTTCAAAATTCTCCTAATTTTTTAAGCACAGCTCAGATCCCTTTCTCTTTATACAGTGTCGTAGCTTTTTGATATTAAAAATCCTAAACTGGTTCTTTAACAGCACGTAGTCTTACAAAGTACATACAGCTATCCATGCCATTCCTGTACCCCTTTCCAGTTTTCTTTCCTACCTTGGAACCTGATGCTGTTGTTGAATATTTCCAGGGTGTCAGCCACAGCGTTGTATTCTCCCACCTTCACTTCCTTTCTTTCTGCAGAGAAACAAACAAGAGTGATTGTTTATGGCAGTCCACATGTTCTCAATTATTTAACCGATTTTGCCTTCTTTTTTGACAGTACGTCAAAAGGAAAAGAAGTATGTCTGAAGTGTATGAATTATTAAAGCAGAATGCCAGACAGCTAACATCATCAAAAGAAGTATTTCTGATTCTTTAAAGAAACACAAAGTATTTTTAAGAACTCATTTACATAATCAGGGAATTGTTGGTTTTGAGCACAGACATTTCCACCTTAAAGATTATGCGCTTACTTACTGGCTCACACCACGCAGGACATTTTGCTGGGAGAACAGGCATGGCTAAATCATACATTCCGCTCTCATTTAAACAACGAGGAAGGACGTGTTGCTTAGTGAACTATTTCCCAGGGCAGATGTAGTGGCAGACTCCAGCCAGTATGGAGTAGACTGGCTGGTCAACAGATATGTTGAGAATCTAATCTCTTATTCTGACTGGGAATTAGCAACTCATTAGTACCCTGACTGCAAAACATACTATGTTATATGATTAAAGCCAACATGCACTTGAGCTAAAATTTTACTGTACTCTCACCTGCGCCACATACATGGCCTACTTGTATGTAACGGAATAGAGCAACTTAATTTGTTTGTCTGCTGCCTTGGCCGCTGTAGCTGGAACTCTGGCACACATTTGTCCCATCCTTCTGATAACATCTGGCATCAACCAACCTCTGCTATTTCTGTTGGGATTTTGGTATGGCACAGAAGTGCAGAAACTTACTAAATTATTACTTTTGCACTAAAACTTTTGTATTTTGATAAGAGACTTACAAACCACAGGCACATTGGCTCAAGTTTTCTTTGATGAGCTGGCTCAGCAGAGCAAAAAATTTCCTTTCAGGCCTCTATGTCTGGGCATGCACAACCCAACTTACATTTAAATTCTGAGCTCATGACCCTATTTGTGACACTGATTTTGAGAGCTGATGATCTTGAACTAGATGGCAAATTCTAAAAGACTATTTCCCCCAACAGCTCCACATTAACCTTTTCTCCTTCCTCACTCAAAGTGATTGTGCCTGTTCAGCTCTGCTGAAAGGAGCAACCAGCTCCATTTCAGTAAAATCTACAGGTTGGTTAATACTAATCTGAGAGCTCACAGGAGGCAAAAGTTTTCCTTACATAAACCACACTTCTTATTGTTAAAATTGCCTGTGTTGGTATAGCCACAACTTCACAGCAACAGGCTAAAATGCAATAGCTCTGATGAACAATGACAAGAAAAGAGTAATTGCTCAACAGCCATTTCTGTACCGAGAGTGCTTACTGAGACTCAATTAGATGTGAGAAGCACATAATAGGTGTGGATGCCTACACAAAAGAGAGCTTAAATCTGTGGTCTGATTAAGGTACTGCAATTGAGAAACTTTTTCTGTGATTGCTTCATGTGACACACAATGCCTTTCCTTGTCAACATTCATAAATTCTTACACAGCTTCCTTTACAGATGAAGCAACACAGAATGTGCCTATGATGGTAACTGCAGTGTAGTGCAATATAGATGAGGTAGCCTACAAGTAGCTAGCCTGGGTACCACGAACTAGCCCTTGTAGGAAATGCAGTTTGGTAGAGCTATGTGGGGAAAGAAACTTCCATGGCAGACTGAGCTGAAAAATGATACTTTTTTTTGGATTTAGAAACCGAAGAGTGTGGGGAAAAAAAGTGTTTGGTACGTAGGAACCACATCATCAGCGCCTCGTCCCTTACAAATGAGAAAGGACAGTTCATAGAGCGCGTGCCAAGGTTTATTGAAGTCAAGAAAAGCCATAAAGATATTTGATATCTTAAAGTAGTTACAATTGTGGAAAGTAGTGTGTGAGGGAAATAAACCATATTTTTATTGAGAGGAAGGATATGCTACCCATTTCATAGTATGATTACAGGGGCGCTGAGGGGGAGACGCAAAGAGTCTTTGCGCTCTTTTGTACTCCCAGAAACCAACTACAGCTGTTGGTTTTTCCGTTCCCCAAGCACAAGTGCTGATCAGTGACAAAGCCACCTCCAAATATTAGTCAAAGGAAGCAAGGAGGCAGCACTATGGCTCTCTGCTCTTTTGCATAGGCCAACATAGCTAAGGATGGGACTCCAGGCTCTACTTTTCTATACGCCGTTCCCTTGAGTTCCCTTTGGAAACTCTGAATCATTCAAGCCAGTATGCTGTTTGTATAACATAGTTCACGTCTGTCAAAATCTCTGTGTGTTCAGTGACAAAAGGACAGGAGGAAGTGAAACTCCTTCAAATAAACAAACCAACAAAGTGCTTTGCACAATATTCAGAATATGATGTTCGCTTCTTTCTGTACTGCTTTCACGATTTTTAACTTGATCTTTCCATAATCATGACAGAGAGATTGTATTGAACCCCTCCTGCTCAGGTTAAAACACAGAATAAAAATATGAGGGAAAATATACTTGTTTTGTGAGATAATGTTTGTCAACACCATGACAGGAGTAGTGGGATTTTAGGACTTGAATCTGCAGCTGTTCTTTCACACAGGAACAGAAAAGTATGAAAACTAATCAACCCAGAGAAAACTAGCCCAGAAATACTCGGATGAAAATTATGCCTATCTAACAGAATTAGAAACTACTAATCCTTGCTGTTAATTAATTGTCACTGAGCAGATTACTTACATGGCCAAGATGAAAGCCTTCTGTCAACAAACTACTGAACTACTCTTAAAGGTGAATTAAAATGTTTTCTTCTCCATGTTTTATTACAGAATTTTACAGCTCCCTTTAAAGCAACTCCAGACAAATTGACACACTGCCACTTAACTAATTGGGTCACATTTCACGAAGTTAACACAACAGATTTTCAATTGCATATCAGGTAGTCACATGTTGTTGAATAAAAGCAAAAAGAATCCTACAACTGACACCAGCTGAGTAAAACAAACTTACCAAAACGCACACGTGTATTACGATTGCCAGTACGACTGTTATCCACTCACACTGAGAACTTCCAGATGAGACTATGGTTAGTTTCAGGTCTTTTCACTATATGTCATAATTTCCATTTCTACTCCATATTTCTAAGTGTACTTATTCACACCTCATGAAGGGATAGTTTCTACTGAGAGATGTTTAATGATAAGGGAATGAACTTGCAAAGCAGAAGAGATGAGACAGATGGATTTCCTTTGTTTTCCTCTATGTGGACAACGCTGGCTTGCTCCTAATGACGTTAAGACTTTGTCTATACCTAAAGCTTGCGGCACCTTCAAGTATGTCAGTCTGACTGAAATGGTACAAATAAGCCAATGTAGTTAAGCTAATATAAAACTGTTTACACCAGTATAATCACCAGTATAATTTATGCTTACAATAGTAAAGGCATTCTGAAATAACACAGTATCCTACACAGTTACAAAAAGATGTATACAGATATGTGAATGCATTCATGAACTCCTACAGGTCTAGGTCATTATAACAATGTAAAAAACTATGTCTAGGCCACCAGAACAAAGACAAATTAACAGGTCTGCCCTAATATTACTGTGGTGCCCAAACTACGTGGCTGTAAATGAAAATTAAGGCTTTCAAAGCTCTAAATAGCTTCCTGTAGCTTGACACTACTAATACATTGTTATTTCGCTGCAGCTCTTTATAAAGTTAGAAATCCATGCAAACTACAACGACAAACATGCAAGTGATGAGTACTCACCTTCCAACAAATAAAGTAAATTTTAAAGTAAGTTTAATAAACTTACTACGGACTATTCTCCGGATAAGCTAAGCATCACCGAGGTTTCTCATCTAAAGGACGCGTAGGCTATTCTCAACGAGCAGCAGAAAAAAGTCATAGCCTATAGCTGAAACATACACAATATCTAGGTCTCAGTTTGTGCTGAAAAAACATCCCTCCATAAAGTGCTCCCTCCATGTCTCCTTCTCTTTGAAAAGTTTTTCAAAATTTTTTTTTATATAGCTCCTCTTGCTTCTCCACTCAGGAAATTATCACTGCACTCCCTGAAAATGTTCCTCTGACATCGGTTTAACAATCCCTTCTCCCACTTTTTGTCAGCTGTTCCTCTTGCTTAATCACTGTCATTCAGTGATTAGATGCTTAGCACACTAGAAAATCTTGCTGCATATTCAGCACTTAGCAGCCTATCTCAGGATCCAATATTATTAAACCTAAACATTGAGGTCTCGCACATTGTTCCTCATTGGTGCATTGCAGCCCAGCAGGACTGCTGGCAGCTATGGGGAATATTTACCCATCAGATCTCAGAAGAATTTTGGAAAATGCCCAAGCGGCTGCGAACAGGTGAAACTGAGCATGGACCATAGACACCTCAAGTGCTTAAAGATCCTTAGGAAGAGAATGACACTTAAATTTGGAAAGATTTTGACTTCAGATTTCAAATCTATCTCCTAGATATGAATCAAAAATCATGCCATGGCACAAGTACTCACACGTTCAAAGACGCATCTAACCCATCTCAAAGTTCACCATTCACAAGCTATTGGCAGCTCATTGACAGGTTCAGTGCAGGGACAGGGCGAAGGGTACACGGACGCATTACATTATGGTGTCCTGAGCTTGGTGTCCTTGGCTTCTGGTCATATTTCCTTTTAAAGAGCGAACGTTTTCTTTAGCACTCTAAACTGTCAGTCACCTAGCAATGATTTCTCACTGACAGGTCTTAGCTCTTCTTTCTGATTCCCTCTATTGCCTGCTATGAAGGCTCCTGAAGAGCTAACGTGCCACACTGAGTGACAGCAACTCTGTGACCAGGGATATTCAGAGAACAAGTTCAGGGAAGGAAGATGGGCCGAACACAAGTAGTGAAAAACCTTAGCTGGAGACTGCAAAGTGATGGCAAGTCTGAGAACACTTCCCATATTTCAGTAAGTCCTGTGCAAATTGCCTGCAAAGTCTCTTCTAACCTGATTTACCTTTGTCTCACTCATTTTAAAAGCTGTTTCATAAAATAACACTCTACC